TACAGGAAATAATAAGAACTTTTATTTTGCTACTTACTTGCCATAATAAGAAAAAGGAAATAGCACTGCAGTGCTTATTATGAAATGAAATATAACCTTTTAAAAGATGCACTGACTGTGAGGCCCAGTCTTCGTAGCATTATGTGTGGAGTATGCCTTAAAACAGGTTGTTCTTTCCCATTGTTGGGCATTTTCAAATGGGCTAAAAGATGCATCAATGGCTGATATGGTTGTCCTGCTTCTGTACTGGTTTTCTTTCCAGGAGTGTGTATACTTGAGACTGTAAGTGTATATGCCTATGTGTGTAGCTTGTTGGTGGCAGGGCTGAGCAGGACCAGCTGGCTAGCTGTACAGGGCACCACAGTACCCTCTGACCCCAAGCTGGTGGGGGATCTGGGCTAACAGGGCATAGCCATAAATCCACGGACACAGAGCATGTGGAGTCATTCAGGAGGCAAACACATCACCTGCTGCCTGCTGGCACATCACCTCCCTCACTGCCCTCCTCCACCGCATTGCCTTTGCTCTCTGTCAAGTGCAAATTGTTCCCGTGGAAATAGAGAGAAGCACATCAGTTTATAAAACAGAGAGTTTTAAACAGCAAAGGTCAGGTTGTCAGGCAGTGTTTTATGCCATTTATTAAAACATATTCCTCTATCCAATATCTGATACTTATTTAAATTTGGGTCACAGTGGCAGCAGGTCAGACCATGTTGTCCAGACTTCTTCCTCTCCACTGGCCCCCCTGGGGGAACCCAGAGGCATTCCCAGGTCACTTGAGATATAAAGTTTGTCTTGCGTGTTTGGGTCTACTCTGTGGTCTCCTGCCAGTTAGAGGTGCCTGGAAAAGGCATCCAGGAGGCATCCTGTTCACATACACAGAACACCTCAACTGCCTCCTTTCAACACAAGGGAGAAGTGGCTCTACTCCTAGCTCCCTATGTGTCTGATCTCCTTTCAGTGAGTCTAGCCAGTTCACACAATAAACTCTTGTGTTCACAGCCTCATTCTTTCAGTCAGAGGGTTGGGACATAGATTGACCTATAAATATAGGCTTCATTCTCTATCTGAGCTCACTCTTTACCACACCATTCCAGTCCCACGCCTGCTGATGCCACACAAATCCAGCTGTCAATCTCACTCTCCAATTTCCTTTCACTTGTAAACAGACTCAAAACTTACACTCCCTCACTTGGGGCAGAATCTCACCTCCAAATCAATGGAAGCAACCCACCATTTTGCAGCAGAGAACAATGACTTGGACGTACTGACTCTCGTCCCAGCTGCTTAACCTTTAGCTGAAAATTGTCTCAGTGCATACTGATGCTCAATCCCTCAAAAAAATATTTCATTCCCCACAGTGAAACCACAATGTGTGGAATGAACTAGTGGATGACTGGCATCATATCCATAGGGAAAAGCTAGAACAGAGAAACAAATGACCGAGCAACATTCCCACCCAAGACTCAAACTTTTATTTGTCTAATGTGTCACATACAAATTCAAGACACTGCTGATTGGATTTTGATAAAACTACCAGCTAGTACCTGTGCAGGGATCCAGATGGCATAGGTACTAGAGCAGTCAGCTGCTTGTAGGGCACTGACTGTGTTTTTCATCCAGTTTCAACTTTAGAAACCAGCTTGATGCATTTTTTTTCACATGCTGTAAACATCCAGTATGTCTGTCGCAGGGTAGGCTACAAATAATCTACTTTTTCAATCAAAGTTTTAAGTTATGAGTTTAAGTAGGGGCTGGACACAAGATCAGGACTCAGACAATGCTTGGCAGATAAATAAAAGCTTTAATGAACAGTTTTTGAACAGGTTACAGACTGTGGATGAATCTGGCACTGAAAGTCTTCAGTATGGCAGCTGTGTTTGTTGTGCCACATGGCTTGGCTGAGCATGGTGGCGAACGGGAAGCTAGTCTTCAGACAGCGCAGATTTGCAGATGAATGAGCTGGTAGGGCAAACGGTGATCAGACAGGTAACAGGCAGGCAGCATTCAGGCAGGACAGGCAGGTGAACGAAGCGGACATCATACAATGATCTGAGGCAGGCAAATAACTACGAGAGAGAGCAAACAGGAGCCAACACTGGTGGATACAACACGTAGTAGAACTGTATAATCTGGTGACAAGTGGAAGGAACATCAGCGTTCTTACTGCATCAGGTGACTAGTGGAAAACAGCTGCTGGTGTGCCAGGGACCTGCAATGGGAAAACACCACCATGCCCAGAACTGCCATACAAATCATACACATAATCTTCCAGCTGAATGGAGCTGAAGTGGACTGCGACCTGGCTGCATGGACCATCGACTACCTTACTAACAGACCACAGTATGTAAGAGTTCATTGACACACCTGTCCATTATGCTAAAAACTGTTGTAAATATTGAAATTTTGTTGATTTCTCAGTTTCACGTGGCATCTATTACACTTCTGTCCATCCTGGGAGAGGGATCCTCACATGTAGCTCTCTCTAAGGTTCCTACATTTTTTTCCCTCTGTTAATAGGGTTTATTTTGGTAATTTTTCCTTAATGAAGGTCAGCGTACCTTCAATCAGGAAGACTTTACCCCCATTCAACCAATCTCAAATCTCTCACTCGCTCTATGCTTATTGATCAGCTGATTGTGGGTGTTTCTAAATGGCCAATCACATTCTGCCACAGTCTCTTCCAGCCAATCATGCGGCTGCTGTCAGACTTTAAATCCCTTCTTGAGGACATCATGCCTCACAAGCATCTTGTGACATTTCAACACATCTGTCCAGAAGCCTGCCCCCTTTTGATCCAAGTTCCTCCTTTTTATGTTCTGGCACTCTACTAAAATGTGACCCCTGTATTAAATATTTGTTTAGTTCGTGGACTAGTAGCATCTCTAAAGTTTCTCTTCCTCGTCCAGACCACCTATTACACTCTCTCTCCTGCACAGGATGCCACCAGTTCTCAGAAATAGCATCCCCTACTCTGCAATATTACTGCAATATTCTTATTGGCTTTATGGATTTCTTCTGTCTTCATCTCCTATATTCACACCAACATCAACACCGCCCATTCAAATCAAAGATTTCTGAAACCCTGATATCAGTAAGTCAAGTAAATTACCAAATAATAGCCTGGGTGTTTATTTGTTTCAATCACTTAACAGACCAGGCGTTTATTTGGGACCAGGCGGCAGTTTGGGTGGCTCGAGGTGGCGCACATTTGTTTCGCCATCGCCCTGATCATTTTGTGGGACACTCTCTCGTGGCGTGCCCGTTTGCTGATAACCCATTCCCACATGTTTATCTCAAGCTCGTCGCTCACCTTCTTCCTACCTCCACCAGGCAGCCTGGCCCTTTCAGTGTCCTCCTCGGACAGACGCTGAAGCTCAGTTTTATTTTTCGCTAATCTCTCACTCTCTTGGGGTCGACAGAGAACACTCATTGCATACACGTTCATCGTGACCTAGCATGATCACCAGACCCCACACGATCTTTGCAATTTACTTACTGTCTTAAGGACCATAATTTCTGTTCCTCAAGGTGACTTTAATTTCTGTTTGGTCGCTGTATCATTTTATAATTTCTGTTGGAATTGTATATAATTTGGTCCTTGGATCTTAATTTTTGTTTGGTCAGTTACCTTTTATTTAAGTTTGGTCCTTTGCTGACCTTTGACTAAGTTCTATATTGTAGATCTTGCAGTCAGCAATACATTTTAAGTCCCCATCCTTAATTTCTGTTCATCATAGCTGACCTTAATTTCTTTTTGGTTGCTGTACCATTTTATAATTTGTGTTAGGATTTTTAAGAATTTCATCTTTGCTGACCTTTTGTTATATCACAGCATAGCATAGCATATATTCTGTTTGCAAACACTTTTATTTGGTTCTCTGCTCACTTCAACTTCTTTCAATTATGATCTTTACTTCGTTTGGTCTCCCAGACCTTTATCATCTTGGATCTCTATATCTCAGTTCAGAATACAGTTCATGCAGATGGAAATGAACTAGTTCACTTTCATAGTTCATTTTTAAAAATTTTGAACTAGGTTCATGGTTCCAAAAATGAATTAGTTCATTTTTTATTGGGATGATTAAGATGACAAACTTCTGATCAATTATTTAGTATTGTACTGTGCACAAAAAGTCTTTTTTTTCATGATGTTTAAATGCAGCCTCATAAACTCTGGAATCAAACAGACACTAAGTTACTTCATGTACTGATCAGGTCCTGATGACTTGTGATGAGTGTTTATTAGTTAAAATGAGAGAGAAGGTCAGCTCGGTAAAAATCAACTGCAGCTTCTAATCTGATCATGAAGCAGCTGATCAATGAGCAGCTGTGACCAGAGAGAATCTCTGCGTTTTCACTGTTTCCACTGTTCTTCAACAAACCGACTCACCGGCTTCTTCACATGAACGAGCTCTGATCTCACTGTGTGTCATTCTGAGCGAGTGAGTGTTAACATATTGTTAAATAACTTTCTGTATTTATTACTTATTGAAGTTACAAATATTACATATGCATTTGCATAGATGAAAAAAAGGTGTTTGCTTGCTGCTCTGTTACTATAACAATAATCCTTTGAATTTGTCAGGTTAAGAAACCCACATTACTCCATTGATCAATGATCAAACTATTCAAGTAAATGAAGAAAAATATTATCAAAACATAAGTTATGACATTAAATTTGTTTAAAACATTTTTTACACAGTCGAGAGGGTCAGAATAACATACAACCAACCAGCTGCTAAGAACATGTGTGACAGATGTAGCATTTTACAAAAATAAATGGCTGCACACAACCTTGCAGGAGTAAACATTTGTCTGCATAAACACATGAACCTGTAAACAACAAATTGCTACACATAAAGTAGTAATAAACTGAAAATAACAAAATAAGGGTTGTCTCAGTTCACTGTTGAACTATGAGTTGAAAATGATGAGGATATACTGCCTGTCCTTGAACACACCAAGTGGATCCCCTCTCCACCATCCTCATCCATTGATCATGTTCTGAAAACACAAAACAAAATGCAAGCACAATCGTTAAATTGCACTCAGTTGAACTATTCTTATTCTTGGTCAATATACATTTTATTACCGTATATTTTAATAGGTTTTTTTTTTTTCTGTTTTCTGGCCCGATGTCTGACACCGTTTTCCTTTGGCCAGTGTGTCAATGTCTGGTTTTAGCTCTTGTGCTGTGGCAATCGGTAAAACAGCGTGGAGGTTGTCATCAGCGATACGTGATGTGTGCTTGGTTTTGTTTAGATTCATTATTGAAAACATCTGTTTGCACAGATAGGTGCTCCCAAACATAGACAGAACACGGGCAGCATGAAGTCGAAGCTGTGGCATCACATCAGGGGGCAGTAGACAGTAAAAGTCCTCGATTGCAGCATCCTGGAACTTTGCTCTCAGGCCACTGTCGCTTTGAAGCTCGATTATTTCCAGCTGAAGGTGATGAGGCACACTGCTGACATCGGTGGTGAAAGGACTGGCAAAGATGGCAAAGCTCCAGTGCTGTGATCTGAAGTCAGAGAAGCGGACGATCAAACTCATCCATTAACCGATTCAGTTTGGTAGCCAACCTGACACATGAAAAAACATCGGGAACTGAGGCCGAGATGTTCTGACAAACAGAAAAGTGGGCAAGATTGTCCTGTTCCACTTGGCACTTCCATAGGTCAAGTTTACGCTGGAAACATGTGATCATGTCGGACATCTGCGTGATGATTTGTTTGCGTCCCTGCAGCTTCTGATTCAGTTGGGCGAGATGCTCAGTTATGTCACATAACATAGCAAAATCACACAGCCAGTTTGGATTTGACAATTCAGACAAGGGTTTTCCTTTACTCTGAGTGAAAACAGCAATCAGAGGCATGTGACAGTTACTTTTTTGCATTTTCTCCTTCATTAATCCAACCAAGCCCGTTTTTCCTCCACGCATTGCAGGTGCACCATCTGTAGTTAATCCCACCAACTTTTCCCAGGGCAATCCAGTTTTACTTAAGGACTTCCCCACCGCTTCATAAATATCCCGTCCCGTTGTGGTCCCATGCATGGCAACTACATCCAAGAGCTCCTCGGTGACAGAGAGGTCCGACTTCACGCCTCTAATAAAAATGGATAGCTGTGCCGTATCCATTTTGTCTGTGCCTTCATCAACAGCTAATGAAAAAGCAGTGTAACTGCGTGACTCTTCGGCCAGCTGTGTTGAAAGGTTTCCTGCTAGCTCCTTGACTCGGTCCGCTATGGTGTTTCTTGACAAACTGACATTCTTAAAAGTCAGTATCTGGTCGGGGCACACCTGCTCACACAACTTCAGCATGCACTGCTTCAAAAAGGCACCCTCTGAAAAAAACTTTGAAGCGTGGACGATTTTCTTCAGCCACAATAAAGCTAGCTTTTACTACCCCATCGATTTTGGTGGTGGCTTTTGTGAACACATTCTGTTGCGATCGCAGTTTGCCTTTTAATTCTTTGGCAATTTGTTGTTTTTCTTGAAGGCTAACTTTAGCATACTTGGCTCCTCGTTTGGTGTAGAAATGCCAACGTAGATTGTACTCTCTGACGACCGACAACGCCTCATAACACACAAGACATACCGGTTTTTCTCCTTGAAGCACAAACATATATTCGCCATCCCATCTTTCATGTAACAGCCTTCCATCTGCATCAATCTTTCGCTTCCTGGACATTTTGGGATCATTTGTGGATATTTCTCAATCTGCCCAATCTTACTTGTCGCATTAATTAAACACTGATGTGGACACTGCAATCTAGTGGCAGGATGACGTCACTTCGTTTGTGTAACATAATCGCCATGCATTGTGGGAAATGTAGTTTATGGTCAATGCACGATTTAAAGCAACATAGATCTTTTTTTTAAGACCAATTAAGCACTCGTGGGCCACATAAAATGACGTGGGCCACATCTGGCCCGCGGGCCTTGAGATTGACACATGTGCTCTAAGGTGTTTAGGGCCAAGTATTAGAACCGCTGTTTTATCTGAGTTTAATAAGAGAAAATTCTGGTCCATCACAGGTTATTTTCCTGTGTGGCTGCTGCATTGCACAGCAACACCTCAGTCAACAGAGTGGGTGACAGGGAGATGGGCTAATGCCCACTAATTTAGAGTTATTCAGTCTAGACTCCAGATGTTGGCAGAACTTAACCCAGCACACAACCACCCACTTACCCACTTACCCACCTTCACACACACACACGCCCACACAGACACACGCAAACACTCGCACACACACACGCCCACACAGACACACGCAAACACTCGCACACACACACGCCCACACAGACACACGCAAACACTCGCATACACACACACACACACACACATTCACACACACAGTGAACAGTCTTCACAAGGCGGCACCCCTGCCAGATGTCACTCAGTGTTGATAGACGCACCATTGTTGGAAACGAATGTGTGTGGGAGTGTTTGTATTTATCTGTGTGAGCACATGCACAAGTCCTACTGCTTAAATGTGCACATGTTTGTGTGTGTGTGTGTGGGCATTCACATTTGTGCATATGCATACACTTTTTATAAAGCAGGGCCTCAGAGCAGCTTGGGAACTGAAGCACCATATGGAATACAGTGCTGCTCTTTTTGACAAGGTGATAAATGTTTGCAGTCCATTTGAATGTCTAAATTGTTGCCACAACACATGCACGTCTTTAGCTTCTGAGTCATGACTGTGAATGGAAAACTGTGGAAGGGTGTGTGCTGTCATTACAAGGGCTTCAAACCGCAACTACTCTCATTTTTAGCAGTGATGCAGCAGGATTCTATGAACTTATTGACAGTGATTGATTGATAACGAGCTGCTGTCACTCCAAGAGGCACATGTCTTCATGGAAAAGTAGTGACATATCACACTGTCAATGACTGTCATCTGTATTTAATCATAAATATGCTATAGTTTTTTAATGACATATCTAATTTTGGTCACATGCAGATCTTGTAAGAAGAAAATATCTATATTTTGTTTGTGTGTTAAGCATGGAGCAGGAGCCATGAGGTTATTAGCCCAGCTTCGTGTAAAGACTGTGAACCCCTAAAAAAACATTTTAAAGCACAGTAATTGACACCATGTATCTTATTCACAATGTAGATGTTGTTTTCGAAGGGGTAACATTTAAGTATTTTATACTTTATCTCGCCTTGCAGTACTTCTAGCTAGCCAGGAATTTCAGCTCTTTGAAGGAGCACCATCTCACTGTTCCTCTTCTTTTTCTGGGGGGCGTGGGTTACCAGGTTTATGTTTTAAGGATAATGATATGACAAGGTAGGATTTGGATCAGCAACAGAAATTATGGGAGGAAAGGCTCATGTGGCCTACGCCTTAGTTCCCTTTGTTCTCAACAAAGAGCAGTTGAAAAAAATTGGATCATTTTCAGTTCACTACTTGATGTGAACCACCATGTTTTTTGTTTGTTTTATGAATTTTATCCCTACTCTATCATACTTGTACTTAAAATCGAATTAAAACTGATGAGACAGGTTGATACATGACAGCTTAATACAGCAATTAAGTCAAATTTAGCTCTTAAAATAAATCCAAGCTTGTGCTATAAAAGCTACTCGTACAATCAACACATTGTCTTTATAAGAGTTTCAGTTGTGGAGATCAGTGTGATTGACTTAACTGCTAAACTGACCCTGAACAAGATGTTCACCAACAAAGGCAAATTGGACCCTTTGCAAAATGACTGATAACTGTGTCTATAAGAGACACGAGGGATCACACCTGCATCTGCAGCCATGATGACCTAACAACACACACAACCAGCCAACCAGCCAGGAATACACACAAAAACACACACATGAGCAGGAGGTGTTGTTGTCTGGGCTTCACTACAGTCCATCTGTTGTCCAGTCAGGAGGTGAACTTGAGGGGGGGGGGGGCTCCCAGTATTGCTCATGTCCAACAGCAGGGTGTGATGTGTGTGTGATGACTGAGAGGAAAGCACCAAGACCTGAATTCTAACCTGGGGCCTTTGCCGTGTTGTGACTTTGGCTAAACTCTGACCTAGTTACTAAATTAGCAGGTAGGATGTGTGACGCTCAGTCTGGAAAAACTTAATTCACTGGAATTCCTGCACTTATTTGATTATTCATAGAACAAACTTTTAATGAGTTCACAATTTTTTTTGTATGATATATGTACGACCTGTTGTCATATCTGGGCCCCTTAATGACAGGGACTTAATTGTTTTGTAGACAGCCATACATCTGATGCCAGCATGATGTCAATTTAGTAGTAGTGTTGCCATTTGAATGGAAAAATAATAATGAATTGGTCCAGTTCATTTGTTTTGTTGCCACAGTAATATTATGATGGTATTACTAGCAGCATCACCAAGTTCAGGTGTAGTACTCTCAACACTAGGGGGATCTAGATGTTTAGCAAAGTAAAGTAAAGATTTATAAATGTATTTTGTAGAAGACAGGGTTGTGTAAATGCTGCAACACAGATGGTATACATTTGATTTAACCTTCATTTAATCCTTCATCAACTCTTCCCCACCTCCATCAGCCATCTTCTCACCCCTCCATCTCATTAAATGATCCCCTCTGTCCTTGGTCTCCAACCTGTTTTCCTCTATTCACCTTCATTCTCCTAATTTTCTCACACACACCTCCATCCTCTCACCGTCTCCTCTCCATCCACCCTTTCTGGCCTGTGTCGACACATCTCACCTCCCCACCTTGTCTCCTTCCCATTAACTTTGGAGCAGATGGCAGGGCCCTGCTCTCTCTGTGTGAGCTTGACTGACAGGGGCTGGTCATCAACCTCCATAGACGACCAGTCAAATGACGCTCTGCCCTGTCTCTCCTCCATCATCCTGTCCTTTAACTCTCCTCTTCTATGTTCTCCTCCAAACCTCCTCTGTTTTCTAATATTCCTGCTGGCTGTATTTTTCCTACCCTTTCTCTCACTCCTCCACCTTTGTATTTACCTCTCTTCAAGTATTTTTCTTTTCCTCCTTTCTATAACCTCTCTCCGTTGTATATTATAAATCATTTACATTTTGGGAAGTACACAACAATATTACTTATTGTTTTAGCCAAAGTTTCCAGGGCTCAGCCTGGAAAAGAAAGCTGAGCTGACTCTGGATGAGCTCACAGTGGTCTAGGAAGGGCTCCAGGTATTGATGGTCTCTCCACTGACTTAATTTAAATGGTTCTGTACTATCCTTGGGCCTGATCTGCATCTGCGTCTTGCTTGAGTGTTTTGGAACAGGATCCCTTCCTGCCTCATGTAAGAGGGACCTGAGTCTCCAAGAAAGGAGACCTGGCCTTGCTTAAGATTAAACTGGAGGCCTTCTTTGTACAGACTACAAAATACTCTCTAAAGCCTTATCCAACATGTTGAATAACATCTTACAAATAATTGTTCACTCTGACCAAACCAAATGTGTTCTGGACAGGACAATCACAGACAATATATTTCTAATGAGAGATGGCATTGATAATTGAAATGTTATAATATCAACTTTGGTATTCTATCTTTAGACCAAGAGTAAGCATTTGACAGGGTGGAACACTCCTATTTGTTTGCTACACTTAGGGCTTTTGGTTTTGATGATGATTTCACAGATTGGGTTAGCTTACTGTATAGGGTGCACAGTGTAAGGTGAAGTTGGGGGCAGGCTGAGTCGACCAATCCCTGTACAGATTAGGGCTGTCAACGAATATTCTTTATTCTAATATATATTCAAATATTTTTAAAAAACGGTTATTCGATTGTGAAAATTAATATTCGACTGTGGAAAAAAACACATCAGCTGCTGCTTTGCGAGTGGGCGCATTGCATGACAGGTCAGGCCACAGGAGTGGCACTTGCACAGCGTCACTCACTGCTGAAAGTGAGACGTGACTACGGTTGCCAGGTGGGTGGATACCAATTTTGGCTGGTTTCGGATTGGTTCGGCGTGGTTTTGTAGCCGAAACACAAGCACTTCAGATCCTTCTTCCTGCAACCCTCTGTTCAGCAGGCAGCAGTCTCACTCACTCACATACATACTCACATACACACCCACTACAGCTCTGGCTGACGTGCCCCCTAAACTCGCAACATACACTCCCTCTACCTTCAGCTCACGTCAGCCACAGAAACCTTTTATTAACGACCGTTATTAACAGATTGTTTATTTAAATCAGTATGCACATCGCGCATAGAGAGAGAGAGGGGGGCGAGCGACAGAGCGGTCTTTTTTTACAGTCTAAGTTTTACGGTTAGTTCATTTACTTATTTTGTAATGTGTAGGTATGTTTTATGTTAAAACTGAAATAAAAATACCTATAGGCTACAAGTAGTTATGTCTCGTTGTATTAGTTTGACCTCCTGTTATTGACATAATGCGTATTGCGCATAGGCTATATTCGAATGGTTCGAACCTATGAGTTATTTTAGAGCAAATATTCAAACGTCATTTTGGAGCAATTTTGACAGCCCTAGTACAGATAAGGAAGGATAAGACAAGGCTGTCAGATACCCATTCAGCTTTTCACTTTAGTCATCAAGCCCTTGCTGTGCAGGTTGTGGTTTATCACTGCCTGGGTCCTTAGACCCTGATTGTTCATATACCGTTGTACACCGTAATGTTTTTGTGGCTATGATACGATGATATTCAGGTTCTCCAAGGTACACTTTCTCTTTATGAATCTGCCTGTGGCCTGAGAGAGGCCAGGGATTAATTGACATTCTGGCTAAAATGGCATTTTTTAGACTGCAAACCCCACAAAAACTGATATACCAAAGTGGTTCAAGCTGGTTCAACACAGCTTGTCTGGAGAATGATGATGACGCCAGTTTTTCTGGATCTCACTGGGCTGACGCCATTTTACAGCTCGGTACTACAGGCATAGCAGATATTCAAAGCTGCATCTAATACTGAAGAGACTCCAGGCTTGTGGTTGTCATCCCGGAGAAAGACTGCCCTCACATGGTGACCTGTCAGTCACTGTCGAGGATGTCAAGGTATCACCTTCGTTGACAGCAAGGAACCTGGGCGTAATCCTCAACGATGGACTGTCCTGCGCCTCCAACATCACTGCTGTGGCCCGATCCTGCAGGTTTGCCCTCTACAACATCCGCAGGATCCGGTCTTTCCTCACAAAAGACGCAACGCAACTCCTGGTCCAACTGCTGGTCATCTCCCGCTTGGACTACTGCAACTCCCTCTTGGCCTCTGTGACTAAACCGTTGCAGCGTATCCAGAACGCTGCAGTGCGCCTCGTTTACAATCTTCCCAAATTCTCCCATGTTATCCCCCTCCTCCGTGACCTCCACTGGCTTCCTGTTGGGGCCYGCATCYGATTCAAGACGATGGTGCTGGCCTTCAAGGCCGTCAATGGAACTGCACCCGTCTACCTCCAAACACTGGTCAGAACACATGCCCCAGCGAGAGCACTTYGCTCATCTACATCAGCTGGCCGACTGGTACCCCCATCGCTGAGAGCAAACAAAGCCCGCTCAGCGAAGTCGCTACTCCTCTCTGTTTTGGCACCTCAGTGGTGGAACGAACTCCCGACCAATGTCAGGACAGCGGAATTGCTCTCCATCTTCCGCAAAAGACTCAAGACTCATTTGTTCAGACTTTACCTCGACCCTGCATAGCATGACTCCCATGACCCCCCCCCCCCAAAAAAAACCCCAAAAACGTATGCACTTGTATGTTCGTATGATTAGCACTTCAATCATAGCACTTATGCACTTAAAGAATCTCTCACAAATAGCAGTTACGATTCTCAGATGAGGGCTTGACAATTCGTTTTACCCCATCGACGGTGATATGTTGTGGTTTCTCTCTTGTGACAAATGTACTTATTGAAAGTCGCTTTGGACAAAAGCTTCTGCTAAATGCCCTAAATGTAAATGTAAATGTTTGAAGAGCCTTTGTTTTTTAACAACTTAATCTAGACCCAAACCCTGCAGTCTGACTGTCTGCGAACCAGTCTCAGAGAGGCTGACTGTACTTAACTTGGTCACCTGACGAAGAACAGCAACACCTGTGGAGGACCTGGCAAAGAGGAGCAACATGAACTCTATCAGGCTCAACAACAGAGTTGTAAAGAAAATCTGTGCCGCCCTGTCACCAACCTTAAGAGCTTTTGCAGAAAACCAGCATAACCAATGGAGTGAGGGCCCTGAATAAAGTTTGACACCCCAGTTATGGCAGAATAGCAGGAATGAGGAGGACAGCTACTGTCTTTTGCAACTCAGCTGGAAAAACTCCAGGTTGTGGGAAAAAATACATCACATCACATCTGCACTAAGGTGCTAAACATATATTGGAGGGTTGTGGATGGGGCAATAGCTTTGAACAGATACCTTCAACCAGAGCTGGGCGAGGGATTTAATTTCTGCTCTCAAACTGAAACACCACCCTCCACTGGGAGCCCTCTTTGATGTTTTAAAAAGGTAGTTACAGGGATTTGGTGAGGATTTTTCCTTTGTTTTGTTAATGTTAACAGTTTCAGGAACTATCTTAAAAACAGTGGCAGTGTTGAGCCTGTGCCAGTGATGGTGGGAGTGCTGAAAGCATCTTGGTGAAAATGGAGAACTAATTATTAATTTCTTATGAAACTTATTGATGTATGAAGCATTGCGTTAGTTCATGCAGGACACGGAGTCATGTGCTCATCAGCCACCCACCAATCACAGCCCATTCTATCACCAAAGCGGTCCCTTTAAATACGACCTCATCCTCACTGATCCCTGCTCAGCTACACTGCCACCCACGCCTGCTGCAACTTGCCTCCACCACCCCAGCCTCCACCTTATAGCACCGAGTCCAAACACGGTCGGGGTAAACGATATTCATCCTAAACAAAGGTACATTTTCTGTTACACCCAGCAGGGGGTTCTGCACATGTTCCCTGTTTTATCTTAGCATGCTGCTCAGCTAATCCAGGGAACAGCCAAAGAATGGAGCCTTCAGCGCCAATCATAACTGTATCCCCATTTGCATCATGACATAGTGTTTCTGACTGAATTTATGTTTTTTTCTGTTTTTGTTTTGTCTTTGAGGGTTGATAAAAAAATTAAAATAAAACAAAAAAAGTATTTTTGTTAATGTCTCAATAAAGGGACCACTAAAAACCTCTCCTCTCCTCTCGTCATGTGTTTTCAGGGAGACAGCTGTGGTGAGCAGGGGGAAGTCATCATCTGCTGAAGACGGGCCAGACCCCAAACTATAAAATGGGACCCAGGAAATTCCTTTAGCTCAATGTCAAATCTTAAGTATTTGAACAGGGTCTGACCTGCTACAGTTTCATGAAGGTGAAGCTATATCATCCAAAAAACACACCCAAAGCCTCTCCTATTTCTGTTTTTCTGGGCCTGTGCACAATATAAGCATAACATTAAAGAACAGTATTCTTCAACGCAGTGAATGTTTGAAAAGTCAAATTGATTTTCTTTCTCTCTCCAGGAAAAGTGGTAGGTCTCTGTCCCTCTGAAGAGAGTAAACTGGCAACATAAATAGAGCGACAGGATGGAGAGGAAATGAACGAGGATCCATCATCAACGCACTGCAGAAAAACAGCTGTTTCAGGTCGCAGCCAAAGATAAGCCTCTTTATTTCTCTCTCCCTCTCTCTTCACCCCTGTTTCTTTTTCAGTCTGTCTCTCATACATTTGACACTCCACCCAGCTGACTTTAATCAATCTTCTGCGTCTGTCCGACATCTCTTTCTGATCTGTGGCTGTAAAGGGAAAGTGCTCATTGTGCTCACAATCTCTTGTCTATCTCACAGTCCTATAATGCTAAGAAACACAGCACAGAAAAGACACACTGATGACAAAGCTACAATAAAAGATGTCCCCAACATCTGGGCAACGTTGGAAGCAAACAATCCTTTACCTTTTAGTCAAAGGATTGATCAGGGATAGCTGAAGAACAAGCGACCTGCCTTGGTCAACCACTTGCAAAGTTAATTTGATGAGCTGAATGATCAGTTGGATTTAGTCAGGTTGTCATTTCAATTGAGATGACAATAATCTTTTTGCTCCACAGAACGAAGGTCTTTCTCCGTGGGAAGTTTGCCTGTCCTACCAGGATTATTCCAGGTTCTCTGGCTTCCTCCCACAGTCCAAAAATATACAGATTGGGATTAGGATCATTGGAGACTTTGAATTGACCATAGGTGTGAATGTTTGCCTGTGATAGGCTGGCAACCTGTCCAAGGTGTGCTCTGCCTTTTGCCCAGTGTCAGCTGCGATTTGCTCCAGCCCCCCATAACCCTTAAAGGATAACCGTTATAGATAATGGACTATGTGGATGACTTTAACGTAATAAAGTTGAGTTGATTTAGTTAGACTGCTGATGAGATAGAACTTGGTTTTGTGCAGTTTAATTTGTAGTATTATTGCTGGGAGGGGCCTTGTTTTGTCCTGTTTTACTTGAAGACAACTTTTCTTTTGACCAGAGTTTAATCTGGGACTAACACCATACCAAAATTGAGATAGACTGGATGTAGTTATGTCTTCCTTGCTATAGTGAATCCCTCCTCTCGTACTGATAGTACTGTGTGTCTGTACATGTGCTGGATTACACTACAGAGTCTTGAGACATCTTATTTGGTGTGTGCGCAGACACAAAAAATATGTATTAGTGTATGTGTGTTGACTGTGGAGACCTCTAGACAACTTATTCACAGCAGACAGATAGCAGCAGAATTCTTATCTTGCCTACCTTCTTTGATAGTGTATTGATGGGGCAATCTGCCTTAGACTGCTGAATTCTGGAACAAAGGCACTGATAAGTATGGCAGGAGAAGAGGGTGCAGAGGACTACAGGGGATTTTTAGCCATTAAAAACAGTTCACTCTGCATTTGTGTTGTAAATGGTAAAAGATGTAAAATAATAAAGCTTACCTTTGGCCTGAATTATAAAGTACAAGGCAGCAACTGAATGGTTGCTACAGAATAGAGACAGAGAAGATGATTCAAAGCCATTGTGTTTGGGTCAGAATGGTGTGTCATCAAATAAAACAGTGAAATCTCAGCACACTCTGCTGCTCTCTGAGATACAGCAGCAGAACACTGGGTACACAACAAGGTGGATGGGTAAACTAAGACGAAATGTATGGCTATGTTGTCTGCTTAAATACTAAGTGATGCACACTGCAAGTGAATTGACAAGTATTGTATTCATACTTTAAACTTCTATGTAAATCACATAGCACACATTCGTCTTTCTCCATGTGCTACTAAATAAAAAGTCACATTCTACAGTTCGCAGACTATAGTCCTAATGAATTGGTGGTCCTATGTCTTTCTCGTGAAGTGTCATCATGAGGTTAACATTTAGTGCTCTTTTTTAAAAATGTGAGCTTATTGTCGCAAGGGCATTTAGGACATGTGCAAATGGTCCAAATCCAACTTTGCTCGTTTAACAATTGAAAAGAAAGTTTTAGCACCTGGCACAAGGTTAAAATGGTTGTGCAATGTACTGTGTTAATTTGCAGTAAACCAATCAGAGTTCCATGTCCCATTCACTTCACATTCAAATTCAGATTGTAAAAGAGAGGGCTTCTCTGAGGAGGATAACCTGTGCAACAAGTAGTGTATGCAGGTTGGAACCCAATGTTGCGGCAATTACCATCCTGATAATGTGTCTTTTTCTTTTCTTCACCACTGACTTCAGACTTTGTTTGTCAATTCAGTGTGTCAGACCACATGTCATTTTAAAACATCATACCCATGGAGGGCACAATGCATGTGCAGCATGGGCACTGAACAGGAAAATGACAACTATGTCAGCTTGGTGAAGCTTTACTTTAGTTGTAGGATGGGGCCCTAATTGTTTCCCTACTCCAAATTTTTCTATTCGTACATTAAAATATCAAATAAAATAACAAGGCACTTTTAGAACCTGGAAATGCACTCATTAGAGTGCTTGCCTCTGCCATGGCCAAACAATCCTACGCTTTTGTCACGCTAGGATTAAGCAAGTTGTGTGATAAACTGCACCACAGTGTACAAACCCATAGATTTCTATGTAAAAGCATAACAAATTCACATTTTTGATTTGGTTGTTTAGTTTATGGCAGAATAAACTATACCTGCAACACTTGAGACATTTCCATCAGCATCAGCTGTACTTCATGTGCATGTTGCCATGTTGATTCCATCTAATGCTGTCTTGTTGCCATTGGTGTCAAATGCAGCATAGATGCTGGTTGAGCACATTATAGTAATGACAATGGTGGAATTTGTTTATTATTATAATTATTATAACTTGTCACTTATGTGACAAAGCACCTTTGAATGTTTTTAGTAAATGATTCGTTCAAACTTGACAAGATGGAAGGCGTGATACATTTTATTTTTCTACATGCTGCTGCAGTTTTTGTTTCCATTTAATACCTTATGGATTATTTGATTGTTTTAACAAAGGTGGTCAGACACGCTTCCTGCCACCTCATTTGACATGCAGCTATAGAAAAAACTGAGTTACTGTTTTCATTGTCATGAATCCAATAAACATTATTGGAAAGTGAATGAGTAAATTAACATGCAAGTCATGTTTCAGTCTGAAAAAGTTTTTGTATTAAAACATTGGTCCATTAAAAGTTACTCCTCTCCATCCAGCTCAGTAATTCTGCTTGATGG